TTTTTTTTTATAATAGTCTCCATGACAGGCTAAAATCAATCATGGATAATACATTTCTTTTTAATTTTCACCTTCACAGACGGAATCCTCTGAGTTGCCCATAGGGATAACTGGCAATGTCTCGCTGTCAATTTTTAGCCACAGATACTTTTCGCAGAAACTCTCTTCAGGATGGCTCAAGCAGAAGAAAATTGGTGTGCTTGACTAGTGATGATGTGAGTACTTTGATGCGGAGCTTATCTTAATGTATAAGTCACTGTGAAGACAAAAAACACGAGTTTGCGTTGTCATGTTCTGTCGAATAATTAGGGAAGTGCTGTACTTCTACTTTTGCTATCTCAAGCTTAAGCGAATGAAGCTCTCTTTGTAGTAATCGTTTAACATTCTTCGAGCCACTGAGAGGTGAAAATTTAACTTTCGGACTTTGGACTCAACTTCTAAGGAGGATCCAAGTCTGAATGACTTGGCCTGTGTCGAAATATTAGTCACCGCTCCGTCTTACGGTAAAATACGGTATAGAATGATCTTCAAGGATCCCTTTGAAAAAGCGTCTCATTCCATTTTCAGTCGTTGTAGATTGTAGCATTGGTAAGTAACACTGAAAGCTATTTAATCGAGGTTATCATACAAAGCTCCAACATGCCATACACTGTGGAGAGCGCTCAAGCCGTAGCTGCCGGGTTATATCCAGCAGAAGGTTGTCACATTGAAATTGAGATAAACATTCTGAAATATCTCAAAGCCATTGTTGCAGGTGAAAGAGTCTGGACAACTGGTGGGTTGAGCGCCTGGCAACCTTTTTACATAAGTATTACGAACGTAGACGCGTATCAAGACATTGTGAGTTGTCCTCTGTTCCTTCTACGAGCTCGCCTGCTCTTTTCAGAAATGAGTGTAAAAAATTTCAGATCTTTCGTCCAGCAGTATACGATTGTCCACCTCTTGATTCAAAGATTGCGAATGAGAGAAAGATCATTAAAAAGAATTTCGAAGAAGCTCATCGTAGTTTGCTAACAAGACTAGGCTCTCTTACCGGTCTTTCCCCACTGAACTTCTTTATGTTTGTTAGGTTGTACGGAATCCAAACGGAAGTGAGTGAGAATTAGTGCACAGTTATCCAGGTTTTAACTAATCATAACTGAATAAGAGAAGAAGCTTGTTTTCTTTTTTTTTTTGAAATTGGTACAGTAGAGAGGACGACAATATAGCTGTATTGACCAAAAGTTTAGTTTTTGTTTTATACCTAAAAAAATATTATATTCTTCTCAAGATTGATAATGGACTGCCACAACCAGAATGGCTCAAGGAAATGTACGAAGGTAAGGAAATGATAGATTGGATTCGAGAAGCAAAGACTATGGCGAGGATGAGCTACTTCAATACAAAAGAAAAAGCACGAGTACGGTAAGTGGTTTAAGCGCCTTACGTACTGTTAAAAGCGCGGAGTCCATATTTAAATAAATCCAAATTGAATCTTGAAATTTTGAAGATTTTGATCAAATCAAAAATGATTCCAAATATGTACGAATTTTTGAAAGGATCAGATAGTAAGTGAATACCAAATACTTATCACAATATCTTCAGATACTCTCGAATACGCCCTTTGAGTTGATTAATATTGACTTAAAATTATTTTGCATTCTTTCATTTGCTTTCCCTATCAATCTTTTTTGCCACAGACAAGGAAGACTTACGTAGAATCAGGCAAAGTTGCTGATAGCTCCTTGGTAAGTCATCAATAAAGATA